TTCTCCAGGCAAGAACTCTAGAGTGGGTTGCCATTTCCTTTTCCAATGCATGAAAGTGAAAAGTGAAAGTGAAGCCGCTCAGTCGTGTCTGACTCTTCACGACACCATGGACTGTAGCCTATAAGGCTCCTCCATCCATGGGATTTTCCGGGCAAGAGTACTGGAGTGGGTTGCCATTGCCTTCTCTGAATGCACACTAGGATACTTTAATAAAAGTTTTCAATTCATTTACTTAAGCTGGCAAACCTAGTAATATAAGGAAGATGCTGGGGTCTGCTGCTGGGTGTTGAGTCGTGATGAGAGACTGTTTTGAAAAGAACACTTTTTAGAGTGATACTGGCCTGAGATGGCCCAATACCCCCAAGATGCCAAGTCTAGAGAGATGCGTGGTCCCCAGAAGATGTCTGTGGTCCTGTGGTCCCTCAGTCACCTTAACCACAGAACCCATCTAGACTTCAGTCTCCTCTGGAGTGAACCTTTTCTACAAGATCAGGTTCAGACTCAGAATGCTCCGACTCTAGCCTGCACTCCCATCCATCAGAGCTCTGCCCTCATGTCAGGCCTCAGATCCAGCCAAGGATGGATCATCACTCTTGGAAGGTCCTTCACCTTGGCTGCCTTACTGTCTGTCAACCCAGGAGAGAGCAAATCCATCAGCTCCCACCCATCCAGAGGAAGCCATGTGAAGACAGCTAGAATAGGTCAGTGGAGACAGGAAGGGCCGAGAGGCAAAGAGGGAAAGGGACACGCCCTTCTGAAGTGGGCAGAGCTGTTCTGTGGCAGGTGGACGGGTCTCCTGTGGCCCCAAAGAACCAAAACAAAACCACAGTGGATTTTGTCTTAATGGAGGTGTTGTAGGCAGAGGGACCCCTTCCAGGGCCTGAGAGTGGGCTCTCGTCTAACACTCAGAAATGAATTATCTGAGGAGACACATGTGTTGACAAAGCAAGACACTTATTTGGAAAGAGCACCCGGCTTCCCTGGTGGCTCAGCTGGTAAAGAATCCGCCTGCAGCGCAGCAGACCTGGGTTCGATCCCTGGGTTGGGAAGATCCCCTGGAGAAGGGCATGGCAACCCACTGCAGTATTCTGACCTGGAGAATTCCATGGACTGTGTAGTCCATGAGGTTGCAAAGAGTCGGCCACGACTGAGCAACTTTCACTTCACTGGGGGTTGGGGGAAGGAGAGCAGCAGGGACGGAACCCAGGAGGACCGCTCGGCCACGTGGCTCGCCGTCTCGGGTTTTATAGCGATGGGATTAGCTTCCAGATTTTCTTTGGCCAATCATTCTGACCCAGGGTCCTTTCTGGTGGTGTACGCATTGCTCACCAAGATGAATTCCAGCGAGGATTCTGGGCGGTGGTCGGACACGTGGTTCTCGTTTGGACCTTTCCTGAACTCTTCTGGTTGGTGGCGGCTTATTAGTCCCGTGTTCCTTGCCGGGACCTCCTGTCATAATATAACTCACACAAATGGTTACCATTTGTGGTAACCGGCCAGGGTGGGCGGTTGCAGTCTGTGCTTCCCCTGACACAGGGACCAGTTTTCTACCTCTTGGGGTTGTTGACTGAAACATTTGCACAACCTAAAAGTTTAGAGTTACGTTTATTTGGCTGACATTCTTAGAACTTCAGCCCAGAAGACAGCTCAGATCAGTCTGAGGAAAGGCTCTGAAGAGGCCAGGAGGAGTCAGTGTGTATAGGGGGTTTTGCAACAAAGACAAGACAGTCCGAACATCAAAAGATTATTGCTAATTAAAGAAAACCAGACAACTCAAGTTAAGGAATATAGTGCTTTCTATACATAGGAAAATGCAAGAGTCTGGGCTCATTGGAACCTTCCCTTTCGTGTGCACCTCGGCCGCGTGGGGCCAGCATCCTGTGCTTTTCCATCATGAATCCCTTCGGCGGCATCTTTGAGGGCAGGGGTAGTGGCTGATGGCTGCAACAGCCTCTGCTTACTGATGTGGCGGGCAGCATTTCTCATATACTGCATTAACTTTACGTGCAATGTTAAAGTAAAAGTTAATCATAATGCTTCTTAAAAAGAATAGTAAGGTGGGCTTTATTCAAGGTAGGGGGCTAGTCCAATGGGGCTCTGAAGTGGGGGAGAGAGATTGGGCAGGACTGGGGAGGTTTTACGCTAAGGGCACATGCATATTCATGAAGGGGCTGAAGCACAGGAGAGTTTGGCGTAGGACTGGGGCAAAGGTCAACAGAGCCCAAGCTCTGGTTGATTGAAGTCAGGAGGGTTGACATCATCCTTCCATCCTCCACCTGGGAGGGAGTCTTAGTTCCAGCAAAGATATACTATTCTGTGTGTCCCCTGGGGACTCGGGACTGTGCCCCAAGGCTGCCCTACTGTTCCTTCACTTCCTTTAAGATCATTGATTAGTGAGACCTGTTTAAGGGCAAGCATTGTGGCCACGCTTAGATCCCCACATGGCTTTGGCCAAAAATGGCTTCTATTACATCAAGAAAGCCACACCTGGTTCTCTTTCTCTGGGGACCCCCTCCCCTATCTACTTACAAAGTGACTGTTACCAGGCAAGAGAAACAGCTATAACAAAGATAAGGAATCAGTTGTGAGGACTCCTAATTCTGACTCAAAGGTGGAGATCAGCCTGAAGCTTACTGGTGAGCTGTTTTGCAGGATGCAAACCCCCTCCTGCACTCAACCCCCAGACCAGCTGGAGTGTAAGGAACATGATGCTGACCTTCGCTGACCTTCATGACTTCACTCAACTGGGTGCCTGCATTTTGCCAGCCTACAGTGACTTCTGCCTCATTTTAGTGCTACGATTTCTCCCCCAAGAATGGCCATCACTTTTGAACATGGGACAAATGTTGGAGTATGTTGTCATCTAGAACCCCACCCCTGTATAAAAGGTCACGCTGGCCCTTTCATGAAGATGCGTGAACCCTTAGCTTTAAACTCCCCCCACCTTCCTGGGGAGACAGTGTTTTGAGAACCAACTCCCTGTCTTGATGCAGAACAGGGCTCTGTTGGACTCCAGGGCATGAAGGCTTTCTTGTCCCCCATTCCTTATGGGCTGGCCTCTGACCTCCATGACCTTTTACTCCAAAGGGTAAAATAGTTGCTAATCAAAGGAGAAGCAGCAAAAACATCTGAGGCAGAGGCTCATCCAAACTAGGAGACCACCACGGAGCCTGCACGTATCCTGATCTTGGCAGAAACTCCACCCTTTGGAAACTGCGGAAAAAAGAAGAATACAAGACTATGACTGTCTTGACCCTTGTCATATACTCCTGCCTGACTATAACCTTCCCCTAGTCACCATGGGGGGCGGGCCACAGTTCTTGAGGCACGGACCTACTGTGTTCCCCCTTTGCCTGGCAAAGTACTGAAGCCTCTCTTTCTTTCTGCTCCATAATTCTGTCTCCATGTTTCCGTTTGGCACTGGTTCAGAGAGAGCCAAGATTTGGGTAACAGTCTCTTGACTTGTTACGAGTCATACACCCTTCTGCTTTGATAGAAAGTACTTGGGGGGCTCCTGGCTGTGCACCCTGAATGGCAGACCCACTGGTGCCGGTAACATGATCAAATATCCAGGGTGGAGGGGACTGGCTACACATACTTGGCAGAACTCCACCTAAACTGGACAATGCACAGAGGCACACAGAAGCCCCGGAGTCAGGGCCTGCTTGGGAAGAGAGTTCAGGGGAGCCTGATGGAAGTTTGGCCCCAGAGAGACTCAGTCAGGAGTGGGGTGACCTGGGGCATCGGCGGGCTCCCCACGCCAGGGCAGAGGCTAGAGGACCCTGGGTGCTTCGGCCATGTGGCCTCTGCATCTGCATTAAAGCTGAAACTTTGTGCGTCTGAAATGAAATGGAGACCCACTTGAGCCCAAAGGCAGCCTCAGAAATTCTGCAAGCAGCCTCATTATCGAATGACTTGACTTCTAATCTCATACTCGCAATGCAGATGGGCCTCCGGAAGCTGGTTATCGGGAAAAATCTAATTTAATTTCACTGTCTGATGAAGATGATGTCTAGATGGGCTTTATATTCTTGCCTGGCTTTATTGAACGTATGTTAATGTTAAGTGTCTTTGAATATTACACTTCCAGATACTTTCAGGGGCTGCTCCCCGCCATGAGGCTCGAATCTGAATGTTAACAGCAAGGCCCCCTCTCAGGACGCCGGAGCAGCTCTGACACCCCAGTTAAGTCCCTTTAGCTCCCTCAGACGCAGGGTTCTTACCAGGAAGATCAGGCAAATAACTGGCTGCTTTGCAGGCTTGCTTCCAAGCTGTATATAACTGCAGCTTCTAGATACAGATAAGAGGGGGATTACTGTCCAGTTTTCATGTCTGGGGAAACCATGCTCCGTATCCTTGACATCAGCGCCAAAGCATCGCGATGCCGCAGTGACAGATCAAAGGTTTGTGGACAGACACTTTCACACCCTAAAATGATTTCCTTGGGGTCCTGGAATATGAAAAATTGTTTGAGGGGAGAACTTAGAGGCCATTTAGGAACAACAGTGTAAGTATAAACTTTGAGAATAGTCTTTGCACAGTCCCTCATTTTGTTGTCGTTGTTGTTCAGTCCAACTTATGTGTGTGTGTGTGTGTCCAACTTGTGTCCAACTCTTTGCGACCCCATGGACTGTAGCACGCCAGGTTTCCCTGTCCTTCACAATCTCCTGGAGTTTGCTCAAACTCATGTCCATTGAGTCGGTGATGCCATCCAACCATCTCATCCTTTGTGGCTGCCTTCTCCTTTTGCCTTCAATCTTTCCCAGCATCAGGGTCTCTTCCAGTGAGTCAGCTCTTCACACCAGATGGCCAAAGTATTGGAGCTTCAGCTTTAGTAACAGTTCTCCTACAAACCCACATTTACTATAAATGTAGGTTTGTAGGAGATCAAACCAGACAATCCTAAAGGGAACCAACCCTGAATATTCATTGGAAGGACCGTCACTAAAGCTGAAGCTAAAGAGTCCTGGGCTTCTGTTCCCCTGTCATCATGTCTTCAGCCCGGCTGTGGCTTAGGAACCAGCTGTGGCTGCCCCCTCCTCCTTCCCCGTCAACCGGCCCGCTGGACCGAGTCGCTGACCATCTACATGGCCCTCCCCCGCCCGTTCCATCATCTGGTCCCTATCCATCACCTGATGGTCACGGGGGAGAGAGGTGAGAAAAGCACGGGTGATGCTTTTTGTGAGGGATGATCCGCCCAAGGTCAAGGACAAGGTCAGATGGCAATGGACAGAAGGGGGCAGAACAGCAGGGCAGACGGGGCCTTGGCTTTTCTGATGTAAACGACCTGTAACTCATGGTTGCCTGGGAGCTACGTTCGTTCCTGGAGGATGTGACTTCTGGACCAGGCGTCTCAGCCTGGAGGTGACACCTGCCTGGATAGATGTCCGCTGTGGGGCCGTGCTGGGCCCTGGGCGTGTGGAGCAGCACCAGGCCTTCACCCCTGAATGCCTGGAGCACCCCTCTCTGGCGGTCCCCCAGTATCACTGGGTGTCCACCGCCCCCATCAAAGGGGAACAGAACGGACCTTGATTGAGAGCCGCTGCTCTGTGACAAAAACCTGCTGAGCTCTCGTTTAAGAAATAGACTTGCTATAAGGTGTGCATTTGAAAAGTTTTAATAGGATAAAGGAAAAGGTCTTTATTTCATCCTTGTTTTCCAGCTCTCCCCACAAAGGCACCCACAGCTACCAGTTTCCTGCTTATAATTACAGAAGCAGTTTATGAATACACACACACACACACACACACACACACACACACACACAGTCACTGCATTCTCTCTCTTAAGAAACATAAGCTTTTTTTTGTATCTTCTTTCATGTAATGATTTGTCTTGGGAATTTTTTTTTTAATCAGTACATTTATAGAGGAGAAAAATCATGACAAAGAAGTATTAAGAGTTTAACCTACCAAAAATGGAATTAAATGTACTTAAAAGACTTTTCAAGGGCTTCCCTAGTGGCTCAGAGGTAAAGACTCCTTCTGCCAAGGCAGGAGACTCAGGTTTGGTCCCTGGGTCTAGAAGATTCCCTGGAGAAGGGAATGGCAACCCACTCCAATATTCTTATCCAGAAAATTCCATGGACAGAGACTTGCTGGCCACAGTACATGGGGTTGCAGAGTCCAACTCTCTGTGGTTCAGTGGTTAAGGATCTTCCTTCCAACATAGGTGACATGGGTTCAGTTCCTGGCAGGGAACTAGGATTATTATTATCATGATTGATGATAATTACCTCCTATTATATGGTAATAATTCTTATACTTTTTTTGATCTTAAAACAATTCTTAAAAGAACTGAACAGAGTCAGTTCTTATGTCAACTCTTTTGCTATGGTTTCTTTCCTTTCTCTCAAGAATCATATTCCTTGAATCTTTGAATATTCAAAAATATTTGTCTCTTGCTCAGATATTTGAATGAAAGTCTAGCTCAGGAAACAAAAAGTCTTTGAAGACTGGAGGCAAGGTGTCTTAATCTCCTAGAACTGAATCATGTTTTTGGACAAAAGGCTGAGGCTACTTAGAATTGTTTTCCCTTACAAGTATCTTGACATGGTTTCCTGTGTGTTCAAAGGCTTCTTTGTGACTCTCAGACTCTAGTAATTTCACTAAGCTGTGTCTTGGTGTTGATTGTCCTTTCTTTTCCTTTTCTCTTGTGCGATGGTGAAGCTCTGCTGTTTAGTATCAGTTTTTCTTTTATTTTGTAAAAATTTTCTTCAATTATGCCTAGATCTCTTTTGTTTGGGTCTGTTGATTAGGGACACCAATTATGGCTCTGTAAGATCTTTTTTATTTCTCATATTTATTATTTCCTCTTTAATCATCTTAAATTTTTTGCTCAGTTCAGTTTTATTTCATTTTTCCCCCTCAGTCATGTGCTGTGTGTGCCTTTTTCCAGAGGGTTTTGCTTTTTTGAAAGTTTTGCTTCCACGGTGCCATTTGTTTGATGAGGGATATAAGTTTTCTTTTCAACTCCTTCTGCAAGTTCCACCAGCGGATGCCCGGTTTGCCTCCTCAGGCTGTGCCTCTGCTCACGTGCAGAGTCTCGTAGCCCTGGGCCTGCTCTCCGCTGGTTTCATCAAGCGGGTCCTCTGGGCTTGTGGACGGTTCCCCATCAGCCTCCATCTGCCCGTTGCTTTGCTGCCCTCTTCTCTCCCTCCCTTCTCCTCTCTGGGTCTGCATTCCGCTCAGGCTCACTTCCCTTCGTGATGACTGGTCCTACTTACAGGAGGTGAGCACCATTATGGGGTAACCCAGGCATCCTGATTCTTCTGGGACATTCCTGTTTTTTGCACAGAAAACCCCATGTTCCAAGACACCCTCAATCCCGGGCAGACTGGAAAGGTTGGTCAGCCTGGTGTTGAATAGACTGTTCTCCATCAGAAGTTGTGTAGGGAGAGATCCAGGCTGTGTTCGGGCCAGGCAGGGCGCTTCCTGGTTCGGGAGAAAGCATTTCCCCTGTGAGGTTCCTCACTTACATGTGATTTGCAGGATAGGGAGAAAGGCAGTGACTTTGGTCCTTTCTTAGGGATCCATGGGCTTCTAAGCCCCTTTCCTTCTTACCTGTTTCTCTCCTTCCTCCTCCTCAGAAGTTGTTGAACTTTCTTTTTTTGGTAGGAAAACTAGTTTTCTTAGCATCAGTCTTCCTTCCTAAATTAACAGCATCCATATGTTTTTTTGATACTTAAAATATGCCAGTTCTTACAACTCCAAAAGAGATTTTTCTTAAGATTTTGATATTTACTATGGTTTAAATTTTTTTTTTAGTGTAGCTCTAAAAATCCCTACTTCTCCCCAGTGAGTTGGCCGCCTCTGAGTGAACACGGGGAAAGACCAGCCAAGGGAGTGTTGGCACATTTAGAAAGCTTGGCTTTTGGTCTGTAAATTTCCCTGTGGTTCTAGCATTTTAAAACCAAAGTGGGGATGACTTTACGATTCTGCTTTTTTATAGGCACGATGGGCCAGGGAAGCAGAAGATGGCCTGGATGAAGGGCGAGGTGGTGGGCATGACGGTTCTGGCAGCTGAGTTATGGGGACAGGGTTACGGTGGGAGTGGCCATTCTGTGGATGGTGATATTGGTGAATATGACCTTGAGGGTATCGAAGGTGATAGGGGTCAAATCCTGAAACCTAACACGTGCCCTCGAGTTGTACTTTTTTCTTGATGCTGTGAGTACATGCTCAGTCACGTCCAACTTTTTGCGATCCCATTGGCTGCAGCCTACCATGGACAGCTCCTCTGACCATGGGATTTTCAAGGCAATTCTGGAGTGGGTTGCCATTTCCTTCTGCAGGGGATCTTCCCAACCCAGGGATTGAACCCACATGTCCTGTGTCTCCTGCATTGGTAAGTGGATTCTTTACCACTGAGCCACCTAGGGAGCCCAAGTAGCTTTTTCTTGATGTAAACCCCAAAATGTGCAAAATGTTTTTCTAAGAGGTCAACAGCTGTCTGATGGAAAGTCTTCGTTTGTAGCTGATAGAGGAAAGGACTCAAGGAAAGCCATCTCTGATGGAAGTGCAGTGGGTGCCCATGAGAAGGCCGAAGTAAGAACAGATTCTGTGAAGACTGCACACTGTTAGTAGCCCTTCCATGGCCACAGGACACTGAGGGTTTCGTGCCGCCTTCAGACGCCCTCATGTGGCTTCATCATCAGAGAGTGAAAAGTCACAGTGTTAGCTGCTCAGTCGTGTCTCACTCTTTGCCTCCCAATGGACTATAGCACGTCAGGCCCCTCTGTCCATGAGTTTCTACAGGCAAGACCACTGGAGTGGGTAGCCATTCCCTTCTCCAGCAGATCTTCCCAACTCAGGGATCCAGCCTGAGTCTCCTGCATTGGCTGGCGGATTCTTCACCATCTGAGCCACCAGGTAAGTTCAGAAGGGCTTCTGTGTCACTCTGCTAACCAGCAGGCAGCCACGAACATCCTTTATAAATCAATGTGCAAAGAATGAAATATGAGATTGCCTGATTGACTGTGGTCCCATCGCTGAGGAAGCCGTAAAACATGATTGATCAGAGGAATGTTTGCAAATCTTGATTAGTTTGTGTCCCTTCCGTTCTGACCTGTGGAGATGAAGCACTTGAGGACACACACTGGCCACAGAGTGAGGTTTTCTCAACACCTTTGTTCTGGAGTACTTTGCCTCAAACATCCTGAAATCCAGATCCAGGTGTCATCTCTGCTACCCGAAGAGCAGCCCAACCATGGATAAGCTGGCCTCCTATAAAATGTGTGCATCCTAACCTAATGTGTGGACCAGAAGATGATAGGAGCCATGTGATAGCACATGAGAATTGCTGACCAGAGCTGTCCAGAGTGTTTTGGGTAAATAGTGCAGCCATGTGAATAAGTGGACAATGTCTGCTTCTGGCGACCAGGAAAAGATGAGGATAATTCAGCCAGTGCTCGCCTAGATATTCAAGGATGACAAAATCCAAGGGCAGTTTCCAGGACTGTTTATTGAACATCCATTTTGGACCAGGAATGATGCTGTAATGTTGTAGCCAAGCATTCCGGGAAACAAACTCACTCAGAAGGATGATGCAGATAGTGGAGTGCAGTTTATTACACCGGCGGGCCCAAGGCAGAATCTCCTCTTAGCCAAGGACCACGACCAGTTTTCATGAAAACCTTATATACCCTAAGTGTACATGCCCAAACCCACCTCCCCAAATTCCCTGAAACTAGTCTGAACAAAGGGAAAGAAAGATACAATCAAAGTTAACCCATGATTCATATGACTTAAGCCTAGGTAGTTAACATTGGACAAGTATCGATAGGCCCGTGGTCATACCCCAGTAAGCATAATAGACTGTGAGATTCTATTCGGTTACACAGATAATTAGGGTGTTCTTTTAGGCGAGGAGAGTCTAGGTATGCGCCCTGGGGCTCTTCCTTCCGGGGGCCTGGTTTTCCAGTTGGTGTGTCGTTTCCATAGATACTGGGCACACAGCTCAAAGTCCACAGTCCGGCCCAAGACGGAGTCCTGCTTTCAAGAGGGAGCCTGTTCTGTCTGTTTCCTCCTTCAGTAAAAGATTCCTTCTTGATAGCAGTCCACTGAAGCCTGTAGCTCTATGCTTAGTTCTTCTGTGCGGCCTATTTTCCAGATGAGGAAATTGCAGCTGTAGGGTGTTTGGCTAAAGATTCTTAGTTTATAACCCATTTTAGATTGCTGTTGTTCAGCTGTTAAGTCCTGTTCACCTCTTCGCAATCTCATGGACTGCAGCATGCCAGGTTCCTCTGTCCTTCACTGGCTCCCCAGCTTGGCTTGAATTCACATTTATTGTGTTATTTCTATTGGTTTTGGGGAGTCAGAGGGACTATTGGTAATCTGTCTGTCAGGGTTTGAAAGGTTGTTGCTAAACCATGAAAGATGCCAGGATTCTTGGCCTCCGGAGGAGAAGAATTCAATCCGGGGCCAGGGACAAGGCTTGATGGCTCAGAGCTTTTGTGTAATAAAGTTTTATTAAAGTATAAAAGAGATAGAGAAAGCTTCTGACATAGACATCAGAAGGGAGCAGGAGTGCCCCCTGCTAGTCTTTAGGGGGATGTTATATAGCTACTAGCAGTCTGCTAATTAGAGAAAGGAAATGTCTCAAAACTCAGAGAATGGTACCAGGCCCCTCACCCACAACATGCATTTTGAGATAACCTTGGCACCATGTGAGTTATCCCTGGCCACAAAATGATTGACCTTGAAGAAAGGCAGATTTCCATAAAATATATAGTTTCATTAACATAGATTAGGAGAACAATGTATGAGTATAACATACTGGTTTGTCAAGTCGGTTCTGAGCCTTTAGGCAGAACTGGCTTGAAGACAGAGTCTAGGGTAAATGCATAGTACATTAATATAGCTTAAGACAAGCGTTTCTATAAGAAAAATACATTGGTTAGCTCAAGGTTTGAGAAAAGTTAAGTTCAGGTGGAACCAGGTGTCATTATGGCAACACAGAATTTTAAGAGAAACCTCTTTTTAAATTTGTATAGAGAAGGGGGGAAAAATGTAACACTAGTTTGTTTCCTCTTAAGGGAGACAGAAAAAAACGTCTGACACTTGCAGCCTATTTCCTCCGTTTGGAGACCCCTGGCCTTCCTGCCTGTTACCCTCTCAGGTTGATTGAGGAAAACAAGTGCTCAAGAAGGTTCAAGTTGGGTGTTGGAGTCGGGGAATCAGATGTCTTCCAAGAAATCTGAGGGCCGGGGCCCTGGAGTTCAGGAGGAGAAACTGATATGTGGCAGCAAGGCGCTGCACCAAAGCCACATCCTGGATCTCGGCTGCCTTTAGCACCTGGATCGAACTCACAGAAGCACATCCCGAATCTGCGGCGGCTCTCAGTCGCCCGTCGTCCACACACCTGAGCCCACCGAGGGAAACACGGCGTCTGTGTCTGCTTCTCACATCTCACCCGAGCATCTCCCGCTGGGGGCGTCCTGGAAGCCTGCGGAGAGGCAGTGCGGGGCGAGTGCCTGGCTTCCAGCACACACAGGGGGAGCCTTGGGGGCGTGGGGAGGGGCTGAGTGTCCACAGAAAGGGCCAGCACAGTGCGGCCTGCTTGCCCCTGCACTGAGGAATCAGGGGCCAGGAGGTCGTGGCTTAGTGTGCTAAGGTGTCCCAAGGGTTAAAACGAGAGTGCAGCCCTATGAAATTAAAGACCCCAGTGTTGGGAAGGATCGAGGGCAGGAGGAGAAGAAGGCCTCAGAGGATGGGATGGCTGGGTGGCATCACCGATGCAATGGGCGTGAACTTGGCAACCTTTGGGAGATGGTGAAGGACAGGGAGGCCTGGCATGCTGCCGTCCACGGGCTGCAGTTGAAACAGTCAGACATCACTGAGCAACTGAACAACAGCAACGTGAAATTAAGAGGCTTTTTCCTTGGAAGGAAACCATGACAAACCTGAAAAGCAGAGACTTCACTTTGCTGACAAAGGTCCATATAGTCAAAGCTACGGTTTTTCTAGTAGTCATATATGGATGTGAGAGTTGGACTATAAAGAAAGCTGAGCACCAAAGAATTGATGTTTTTGAACTGTGGTGTTGGAGAAGAAATCCCACCAGCCCATCCTAAAGGAAATCAGTACCGAATATTCATTGGAACGACTGTTGCTGAAGCTGAAGCTCCAATACTTTGGCCACTGGATCTGAAGAACTGACTCATCGAAAGCGAAGGGTCTTTTCCATTGGCAAGAATGCTGGGAAAGGCAGGAGGAGGAGGGGATGACAAAGGGTGAGATGGTTGGATGATGTCACCAACTCAACAGACAAGAGTTTGAGCAAACTCTGGGGCGTAGTGGAGGACAGAGAAACCTGGTGTGCGGCAGTCGAAGGGGCCGTAGAGTCTGAACTACAGCGACCAGTGAAGGCACAGAAGCCCTGCAAAGCCATATTGTGCACTGGTTCCTCGTGACGACACTTGTCCCACTTGAGAAGAATCAAACGTGGCCCCGGTGATCACACCTGTTGACGGCACCCTCACCAGTGGCATCGTCATCGCCGAGGTCGTCACCGTCACCAGCTGGCCTCCCGAGCACCCGTCTGCTCTGCGACCTCCGATTGCTTTGACTTTAATCTTGAGAAGCCACTGGTTGTGGACGGTGCTGTGACGTCCACTCAGATTGTGTGTCCACCCAGCCCCCGCTGTTGGGATGCTGCTCCTCTCTGCCGGCGAATCGCCCTCAGGTGACAGAAGCCGCCTCCCAGGAAGCAGGCTTGAGGGTGGGGTTCTGAGACTGACACCGCTCTTGGGTCAGCTGGTGACGAGGATCCCACCCGGGGCAGGCGGCGGGGGGGGGAATCGTTAGTCCCCGGCATGCGGGAGCTGCCAGCTGCAACAGGTCCTCCTCTGTGGACAGGAATCCAGAGCCGGAGAAGGGTTTGCAGTGAGTCCTCCAATATCGCTGCCTCGGCTGGGCTCTGAGAGAGAAGGCACAGGACTCTAGGACAGGATGGGGCCTCTGGGAGCACCGTGCTCCTCTGGCCCCGTGGGTCTGCAGATGTGGTTCAGACAGAGGAGGGCCCCCGGGGACCCCAACTCAGCGGCGGCCTTGCATACAGCATCACCAGATTAAACAAAGGAGCCCAGTGACACTTGACTTCCTGACATGCAGTGGTACCCATTTAGTATAAAGGGAGTCCAGTAATCAAGAGGTGATGGGGAGTGTTGGTCAGTAGCAAGCAGCCCGTTCCAGCACGACCACAGATCTCTCCTTCGATTTTCCCTCTATGGGCTGCTTTCCTAATTGTCCTGGAAGCTCTGCTTGCGGTGAGCGCTTCATTTTAATAAATATGTGGAAATTAGTTCATTGTGGTAAGTGCTACTGTGCATTTGACTACCATCAATGGTAATTTTTTAAATGTTTTCTCTGGTAATTCTTACTTTTCCTTTGTTGTTGTTGCTGTTCAGTCGCTAAGTCCTGTCTGACTCTTTGTGACCGCATGGACTGCAGCACGCCAGGCTTCCCTGTCCTTCACTATCTCCCGGAGATTGCTCAAACTCATATACAAATCATCCTCCTTGTTCACAGTATAATTGATTTATTATCTTATTTTCTTGTTGGTTTTGAAGAGTACTTTATATATTGAGTCTATTTAACATATATTGTTAAGACATTTTATTTTTGCTATTTCAAAACTGAATTCTGTTTATGTTAATTTTGTAGTAGTTTTTATCTTTATCCAGTTTAATACATACACTTTCTCTATGAATTTATTATTATTACTATTTGCTCTTAAAGATCTGGTTTACTTTGCTTTGAGATGAGATAAACTTTTTCCTGCATTTTACTCTATTCTAAGCTTCATGATTTTCTTTTTTCCTATTAAACTCTTTAACGCATCTAAGTTTATTTTGGAATATGCTCTTGAGGTGTGGGTTGGACATTTTTAATATCTGAATGTTTACACATCAGATTTTCTTGGCCACTCATCAGATCAGCAGTCTCCATCCCTTGAAATTCTGTATTTCCTCAGCTCTATGTCTGGAGATTTTATTTTCCTTTCTATGTCTACCCTTGCCTCATTACCCTCTTGCTTTAATTGTTTTAAATAATAATACAACTTCATATTTGATGCAAGTCTCCTTTTTATTATTATTTTTTGTTGCAGTAGGTTTGGGCCATCCTTAGCTATTTAGTTTTCTGGGTACATTTGAGAATCCCTCAAGTTTTAGAAATGCTCTGTTGTGGTTCTGCTGGGAAGTCCATCAAATGCATAAATGAACTTGGGGAGAGTTTTGCAGAGGCTGTGTCAGGAGGCTTTGCCACTGTTTGTAGAATGTGTGTTCTGGGCTTGGCTTGGATGCCAGGAGGCTGCTGGGGCGGTGAGACCCCTTCTTCTCTCTTCTGGGACCAGCCAGGGCCTGGTCACAGCCGGTCCCTCTGTGCCTGTGGGGTCCGGGCAAGGTCAGGGCCCGTGGGCTACGCTCTCCTGTGGACCCTGCTCCTGCAGCCTCTCTAGTCCCCCTGGGTTTGGGGCAAGAGTGAGCGGGTGACGGGGGTTATCTTCTCATTTCTCATGAAAGTGGTGCAGAGTTCCTCAATGTTTCACACGCATCTTAGATGTTAATCTCAGCAGCACTCCCGGCAGAGGGATGGTAACCCATAGCAACTGATGAGGGAGCTGGGGAGGAGAGGTCTTCTAATTCGCCCCAAGGTCAGCTGGTTGACAAGATCACCAAGGATCCAGCCCTGGCCTATCCGTCTCAGTGCTTCTCTTTCTCATTATAATATAAGCTGGATGTTGGCTGGCACCGAGGGCTGGGCTGTCAGGAGTTAAACCACGCACAGAGCCCAGGGAGCTCACCTGGGGTCCAGCCTGGCCGAGCTCCAGGCACTGACCGCTCTCCACAAATCGAATGGATTGGTCTCCCCCTTGCTCTGATGCTCAGTTGACATCCGGAAGGTGCCCACACTTCAGATGAGCAGCAGCAAATTAACGCCTTGGCAAGCATTGCATCTCTGCCGCCTGGCCAGCCCTCACTCTCCCAGTCCTGTGTGCCTCGGTTTCCCCCCTGGAGAGCCGGTGAGGGCTTGTGCCAGCGGTCTAGTCCTGACCTCCAGGGACCTTCTGCTGCTGCAGACAACAGGGAAGCCGCCCTTTCAAGTGCAGCCTTATCACTCAGAGGGCATTGCTCTGTCTTCCAAGAAGACACTTATTAATATGTCTTCAGAACCCAGTTTTCATCTCCCACCCACCTTCCCTCCCTCTCTAGGGGACTTTGAAACCCCAGAGCTTTGAAGAAGAAAGCCGCCTGCTTCTGGGGCAGAGCTCTTCATCCGTTTCCCGTGCGTCATCCCGGAGGAGGCGTCCTGACACCTGTTTGATGGCCGTGATGCTAAATGTTCTGCCCAGTGACCCTCCTGATCTGTACTGACATCCTTCCTTTCATTCTGAAGTTTGCAGCTGGGGTGGGGGGATGCCCATCCAGGGACCAGATGAAGTTCACTTCGGGCGGACTTCTGCATTGATAAGCTCACAGCTAAAAATTGGCTCCCCGTCCCCTGCAGTCGCCAATCATTGGGATGCAGATTCAATAGAAAAGAACCCCAGGTGTCCCTAGCAGCTGGAAATCAGCCTGTATTGAAATGGGAATAGACCGTGGGGATTGGAAGCTGCCTTCCAGGCTGAGGAACAGGGAAACTCCCTTCTCTGTCCAGCTGTCAAATTACTCACCCAAGGGGAGATGCCAGACTCTTAGCTCCTCTGTCTTCAATTATCTGCAGGGGCAGGCAGCCAATTGTTCTGGACTCTGCCCACCTGTCTGCTGCTGGAAGGGCTGATCCTGCCAGGGACAGATGCCCAGGCTGGCCGGGGTCCCCTTTTGGGGAAGGAGGAGCTGGAAGTTTCTAGTTGAAAGCTTTCCTTCATTGGCCTCTGTAGTTGAAGTCCACAGAGAGACTTCCTTTGTTGCTCTGCCCGCCCCATGAATAAATAGCAGCTGATGACTGTTGCCATCCGACCAGCTATGGCTTCTGCAGCTTTTTGACAAATGTAACTTATTCTGACACCAGAGTTTTGGCTCTGTTTGTGATTTTCACATCATTAATATCTTTTTTTTTCCATTGTAAACTTAGTGTCATTGAGGGTCTGTGTGTGGAAGATTGTGTTGCAGTGAAAAGGAAAAAAGAGGAATGGCTTTTTCTTTTCTTTCCCGTGAGCAAAGAAGATAAAGAGAACAGTGAGCAGGCCTGAGTTTTTACTTCACCTGTTCCTAACCTGTGCGTGTGTGCTAAGTCGCTTCAGTCACGTCTGACTCTGTGACCCCATGGGCTGCAGCTCACCAGCTCCTCTGTCGGTGGGATTCTCCAGGCAATGATACTGGAGTGGGTTGCCATGCCATCCTCCAGGGGATCTTCTCCACCCAGGGATCAAACCTGCATCTGTCGCATCTCCTGCTTTGGCAGGTGGGTTCTTTACCATAAGCACCACCTAGGGAGGCTGTTCCTAATGTCTAGTCTGTAACTAAATTTGCTTTTCTGCCCCCTAACTCTGCATGAGCTACATTTTGCACCAATTATCCTTGGACTGTATGCTAATTACGTCCTGTATCTGGGGCTCACCTTTACAGAGCTCTTCACAGACCACCCCTTGTAGTTTTTCTCTTTTTCCATTATAGAAAGAAGGCTTAAGTACAATACCTGGGCTTCCCTGGTAGCTCAGCTGGTAAAGAATCCACCTGCAATGCAGAAGACCCTAGTTCTATTCTTGGGTTGGGAAGATCCACTGGAGAAGGGATAGGCTACCCACTCCAGTATTCTTGGGCTTTCCTGGTGGCTCAGCTGGTAAGGAATCTGCTTGCAATGTGGGAGACCTGGGTTCATTCCCTGGGTTGGGAAGATCCCCTGGAGAAGGGAACTGCTACTCACTGCAGTATTCTGGCCTGGAGAATTTGAGGGACTGTATAGTCCATGGGGTCGCAAAGAGCTGGACGTGACTGAACGCCTTTCACTTCACTTCACGTCTCTGTTGCAGAGCGCAGGCTCCAGGCACAATGGCTTCAGTCGTGGTGGGCACAGGCTCTAGCTGCTGCACAGCACGGGGAATCTTCCCAGACCAGGGATCAAACCCGTGTCCCCTGCACCGCTTTGCTCCTCACCGCTGAGCCCTGAGTGTGAGCCCTCGTTTTATCTAATCCCCCAGACTCCTCACTGGCGGGTTGGGGGGGAGGCCGGGGGCGGGGCACAGTTCTTGAGACAGGAGCCTGCTGTGTCCTCCCTTCCCCTGCCGAGGATTAAAGCCACCTTTCTATTTCCCTCAGATTCTGTCTCTGTATTTTTCATTCAGCTTCAGTGGGCAGAGAAAGCCAAGATTTTGGTGGCAACAATTGGCTTGTGAATCCGTTTCTAGTATATGTAATACTGTCAGAGACATGGAGCTGGGAGAAGCTTCTGGAATCACCCAATCACTCCCTGTGGTTAATCCATGGGGAAATGGAGGCCCAGGGTGCCAGCATGGATGGCTGTCCAAGGCCACCTGGCAATCTGGAAGCCGAGTTACAGTTTTTTAGTACTATACAAATAAGACCTTCGGATCTACTATCAACAGCCTATTCATTCACTCAGCAAACAGCCTGGGAGGGGCCTGCCACCCCATCCGTGATCGACTG